GAGGTCTGAGAGTCCTGGAGGTTCTGTAGGATTCTGGAGGGTCCTGGAGGGCCCTGGGGTTCTGAGGTTGGAGGTTCTGTCTGGAGGGTCTGAGGTTCTGAGGATCCTGGAGGGTCTGGAGGAGTCCTGGAGGGTCCTGGAGGATTCTAGAGGGACCTGAAGGGTTCTGAAGGGGTCCTGAAGGGTTCTGGAGGGTCCTGGAGGGCCCTGGAGGGTCTTGGAGGGGTTCTAGAGGGTCCCGGAGGATGTCTTGGAGGGTTCTGGACGGGTACTAGAGGGTTCTGAAGGATCCTGGAGGGTTCTGGAGGAGTCTGGAGGGTTCTGGAGGGTCTGGGAGTCTGGAGTCCTGGAGGTCCTGAGGGTCTGGAGGTCCAGGAGGGGTTCTGGAAGGTCCTGGAGTGTCCTGGAGGGTCCTGGAGGGTCCTGGAGGGGGTGTATAGGGTGTGTGTGTGTGTTTGCAGACAGAGTTTCGTCTTGTGTGTGAATAATCCCCCGACAGGAAGAGACGTGTTTAAAGTTCAGATTATCAGAGGATTTGAGTCTGACACAAGAGCAGCTCTCCACTCCACAAACACGCTTCAACACGACCTTTCTCCTGTCGCCGCGGTAACAGTCTGCCTCTCTCTTTCTCTCTCTACGTTCAAATGTGCAGCTCTGGTCTGGGTCGGGGTCTTGGTCTGAGCTTGACTCTCGCCGACAGAGATCAGGACCAATGATCTCTGAGCTTTCACACAAATACTTGATGCTGATTGGTCAAAGGATCCTGGATCAACCCCGGTCCAGTCCTGGTTTGGTCCTGGTTTAAACCTGGTTCAGTCCTGGTTTGGTCCTGGTTTAAACCTGGTTCAGTCCTGGTTTGGTCCTGGTTTAAACCTGGTTCAGTCCTGGTTTGGTCCTGGTTTAAACCTGGTTCAGTCCTGGTTTAGTCTTGTTTTGTCTTGGTTTAGTCCTGGTTTCCTTCACTGTCAGGAGCATTAATATAAATTGAGTCTTTTGGTCTTAAAACCTCGTAGAACCTGAACTCTTGAGGCTTGATTTTTTTTTTTTTTTTTTGATATATTTTTATATTTCTATGTCCACATGTGATTTATAAAACATTAATTTTATGTTTTAATCATTTTGGTGAAATGCAATAAAATCAGAATAGAATAAAAATGATTTGTAAAAACTATTTATTAACAACTTAAAATGTGTTGGACATAAATGTGCAACACACGTGGACACCAGGTCCTAAACATGAACCCAAACTAGTCCTGGTTTAGTCCAGTTCCCAGTTTAGTCCAGGTCCCGGTTTAGTCCAGGTCCCGTCCAGGTCCTTTTAGTCCTTGGGCTTTGGTCACGGTTGAAGCTGCAGTAGGTATTTGTCTTTAACATCACAGAGAGTCCTGGTTTAGTCCTGGTCTCTGGTCTGGTCCTGGTTTAGTCCTGGTCTCTGGTCTGGTCCTGGTCTGGTCTGGTCCTGGTCCTGGTCTCAGTCCTGGTCTCTGGTCTGGTCTGGTTTAGTCCTGGTCTCTGGTCTTAGTCCTGGTCTAGTCCTGGTCTTGGTCTAGTCCAGTCCTGGTCTCAGTCCTAAACATTTGCCTCAGTGAAGTCATGTCTTTAACATTAACACGTCATGTTGCCTAGTTTCAGTCCTGGTTTAGTCCTGGTCTCTGGTCTGGTCTGGTCCTGGTTAGTCAGTCCTGGTCTCTGCTCTGGTCTTTGTCCTAAACCAAGTCTAGACCAGGTCTAGTCCAGGTCTCAGTCACAGTTGAAGCTGCAGATATTGTGTCTCATGAGGTCGTGTCTTTAACATTAACACATAATCATGTGCCCTGGTTTAGTCCTGGTCTCTGTCCTAGACCAGGTCTAGTCCAGGTCTAGTCCAGGTCTAGTCCAGGTCTAGTCCAGGTCCAGGTCTAGTCCAGGTCTAGTCCAGGTCTAGTCCAGGTCTCTGTCTCGGTCACAGTTGAAGCATCTTTTGAGGTTGTGTCTTTATCTTCAGCAGGTTCTGGAGTTACTGGATGAACTGTTAAACTGAAACAGAAACTTTCTCTTTTAAAAGCCCACGGAACAGCCTGGAACAGCCTGGAACAGTCTGGAACAGCCTGGAACAGTCTGGAACAGCCTGGAACAGTCTGGAACTGGAATGGTTTGGAAATCTGAAACGGTTTGAAACGTTTAGTCTGGAAAGTCTTTGAATGGTTTGGAACTGAAATGTCTGGAACAGTCTGGAACAGTTTGAAACGTCTGGAATTTGGAACAGTTTGAAACGGTCTGGAAGTCTGGAACGTCTGAAACGGTCTGGAAGAGTCTGAAACGGTCTGGAACGGTCTGGAATGGTTTGGAAGAGTCTGAAACGGTCTGAAATGGTCTGGAACAGTCTGGAACAGTTTGAAACAGTCTGGAACAGTCTGGAACGGTCTGAAATGGTCTGGAACGGCCTGGAAGAGTCTGAAACGGGCTGCGGCGCTTTGTTGTCATGACGTTTACGGCCTTTTCTAACGCGAAAGTCGGCGGATTTGTTTCTTTTATGAAGTGGTTTTAGATCATTAAACAGTTATAACAGAACGATCCACAGGGGTCAGAGGTCAGGGGTCAGGGGTCAGGGGTCCAGGTCAGAGGTCAGGGGTCAGAGGTCAGGACTATAAACTCGCGCAGACACTAGAGGGCGACGTTAAAGGCTCCAAACTCGTCTCTGTGCTCGGTATAAATAAACTTTTCCCGTTGCTCTGTCTGAAACGGGCAGAGTGTGGATAAAGTGTCTTGCTCAGCGGCACAAAGGCGTCTCTGCGGTTGGTCCCATCCGTCGTCTTAACGTCCCCTCGTCTCATCGATCCTGATTTTCTCACACAAAAAAAAAAAGTTTAAATTACACAGATTCATCTCACAGAGTCTACGAGCCTGACACCAGCTCCCCCCGATCTGACCTGGTCTAGACCTGGTCTAGACCTGGTCTAGACCTGGTCTAGACCTGGTTTAGACCTGGTTTAGACCTGGTTTAGACCTGGTTTAGACCGGGTTTAGACCGGGTTTAGACCTGGTTTAGACCTGGTTTAGACCTGGTCCCGGTCTAGTCCCGGTCTGGTCCTCATGTCTTAGTCCCGGTCTAGTCCTGGTCTAGTCTTGGTCTAGTCCCGGTCTGGTCCTCATGTCTTAGTCCCAGTCTAGTCCCGGTCTAGTCCCGGTCTGGTCCTCATGTCTTAGTCCTGGTCTAGTCCTCGTGTCTTAGTCCCGGTCTAGTCCTGGTCTAGTCCTCGTGTCTTAGTCCCGGTCTAGTCCCGGTCTGGTCCTCATGTCTTAGTCCCGGTCTAGTCCCGGTCTAGTCTTAGTCCCGGTCTAGTCCCGTCTAGTCCTGTCTTAGTCCCGGTCTAGTCCTCTAGTCCTGTCTAGTCCTCATGTCTTAGTCCCGGTCTAGTCCTCATGTCTTAGTCCCGGTCTAGTCCCGGTCTGGTCCTCATGTCTTAGTCCTGGTCTAGTCCTCATGTCTTAGTCCCGGTCTAGTCCCGGTCTGGTCCTCATGTCTTAGTCCCGGTCTAGTCCCGGTCTAGTCCCGGTCTAGTCCAGTCTTGTCTCCTCTAGTCCCGGTCTGGTCCTCATGTCTTAGTCCCGGTCTAGTCCAGGTCTGGTCCTCATGTCTTAGTCCTGGTCTATTACCGGTCTAGTCCCGGTCTGGTCCTCATGTCTTAGTCCTGGACTAGGTCTAGTCTTGGTCTAGTCCCGGTCTGGTCCTCATGTCTTAGTCCCGGTCTAGTCCCGGTCTGGTCCTCATGTCTTAGTCCTGGTCTAGTCCTCGGTCTAGTCCCGGTCTGGTCCTCATGTCTTAGTCCCGGTCTAGTCCCGGTCTAGTCCGGTCTGGTCCTCATGTCTTAGTCCCGGTCTAGTCCCGGTCTGGTCCTCATGTCTTAGTCCCGGTCTAGTCCTGGTCTAGTCTTGGTCTAGTCCCAGTCTGGTCCTCATGTCTTAGTCCCGGTCTAGTCCCGGTCTAGTCCCGGTCTGGTCCTCATGGGTGGCCCTGGACTGGGGGAGGTGGTCTCCAGGGTTCGGTCTGGACTCTCAGAAGAATCTTGGTCTTTACTGGAACTGGGTTTATTGACTCAGGAGCCGAGGGAGGGGCCCCGAGTCCCGAGCGCCCCGGGGGGAGGGGCCCCGAGTCCCGAGGGCCCCGGGGGGAGGGGCCCCGAGTCCCGAGGGAGGGGCCCCGAGTCCCGAGGGCCCCGGGGGGAGGGGCCCCGGACTCGGGAATATAAAGTACTCTGGTATTTAAAGTACTCCGGTATTTAAAGTACTCCGGTATTTAAAGTACTCTGGTAAATAAAGTACTTTGGTAAATAAAGTACTCTGGTATTTAAAGTAAGTACTCTGGTATTTAAAGAACTTCGGTATTTGAAGTACTCTGATATTTAAAGTATTCCGGTAAATAAAGTACTCTATTATATAAAGTACTCTGGTATTTAAAGTACTCCGGTACTTAAAGTACTCTGGTATATAAAGTACTGTGGTATTTAAAGTATTTCTGTATTTGAAGTACTCTGGTATTTAAAGTACTGCATATTTTTTGTATTTTGCTTCAACAAATGACACTTTATTTCTCATTTTACTGTCAGCGGGGATCAGATCAGATTCTTCAAAAATAGGGACATTTCTTGTATAAAACTTGGACAAATCAGTGTTTTTGTATAAATCTGTTGGGTCAAGGGACACGGGCTCAAAACTGGGACTGTTACAGGAAACTAAATACTAAATAAATACTAAAAAATCGGGACTAAATAATCACAGAAATAAAAAAGAAACATACATGAAAAGTTTGTCCAAAATTTTGACTCAAAACAACTCAGGTAAGAGTCAAATATTAGTGTTTGTCTCCCTCTGGTGGTCACGAGGGGCATCTGTAAATAAACTCGTGAAACTGAATCAAACTGAAGCTGAAACTGCGGCGAAAAACGGAGTGAAGCGCAGAAAAAAAAGAGAAAAAAAAGAAAGAATCGATCGTTTTTTTAGTTTAAAAGGATAAACTTTTCTCTCTTCGGTGTCTGATCAGCTGACCGCTCGTCACGTGACTTCACCCGCTTCCTGTTTTCTTTTCTTCAGCTGAAACTGCACTTTTGGAGACATTTTTTGGGAGATTTTTACTTTCGCAAAACACAACATCGGGTGAAACTTTTTGATTTGCGTGGTCCGTGTTCGTTTGCGTGGCGGTCACGTGACGCGGCCGCGGGACACACCTTTTAATGCCGACTTTTTTCATGTTAAACAAAAAATATGCGGCCAAGTTCTGCCAAAAATTGAAGGATTTCTGGATTGTTAACCAAGCCGATGTTTTCCTGAGATATTAAAGATTCAGAAACGTCTTAACTTTTTAACCTCTTTAAAATCTGCTTGCGAAAACCAAGTAAGTATTCAAACTACTTATTTTTTAATGACATTTGGTGAAAGGCTCGTGAATGCAGAAATATTGTACAGTTTCCGTGTAAATAAACAGTGACAATTGCATAAAATGTCTTTAATCTAAAGAATAATCCTGAGTCTGTGTAATAAAACCAGGTTTAAGAACATTTGTTGTTTAAATGTTTAACGCGAGGTCAAAGTTAAAGTACCTGCGGCCCTCCCACAGAACGAGATAAGACTCCGCTGTAAAGTGATTTTACGGGATTTTAGAAAACATCAAACAGATAAGAAACAATATAATATGACACAAGTCCAGATTTATATTATACTTTTACTGCTTATACTGCTGACAATACTTCTACTACTACTACTACCACTACTACTAGTACTACTACTACTACTAATACTACTGCTATTGTTACTACAAATACAACTAAAGATAAAATACTTAACAGATAACATTTATAGCACAAATCTAGATTTATACTGTTTGTACTCCAACGGTCATTACTCTACTACTACTACTACTATTACTACTACTTCTACTACTGTTACTACAACTACAACAACAACAACAACTACTACTACTCTACTACTGCAAGACTGGTATTACTACTACTGTATAAGTGTAACTGCTGCATCTGCAACTACTACTTCGACTACTGCTTTGACTACAACTCTGGGTCATATCTTTCCTTTTCGTCAGACATGAGAGTTTGTTTTTGCTGCTTCACATTTTCACCTAAAATATAAATGTATTAAGCTTAAAGAAGTTCAAGTAAAAGTACTACTGTTATTACTACTATTACGGGTACTTTACAGTGCAGATTGTACTACATAAAAACAACTACAAACTTTACTTTTTGAAAATCTGTGCTTCCCGTAGATATTATTAAAAAAAAAAAAAAAAAACATCTAATTTTATTTTTCAGTTTTGTATCTTCGTCTTGGAAAAAAATGCCGTCAAATAAATCTGTGTCTGACGCCCCCATCTGTCAGTTTGTGAACTGCAGGATCCTGAGAGACCACAGACTGCAGAGGTAACGCAAAGTACCACAAATACTACTCTTCCCTCTCTTCATATACTGTGTATTTGTGTATATTTGTGTGTATTTGTGTGTACTTTAGAGAGGACCTGTGGGTGCGTGAGGGGCAGATCTTGGACCCAGAGAAGTTGTTTTTTGATGAAAAAGGATTTGCAGACAAACAAATCGACTGTGACGGACTCATCATCGCACCGGGCTTCATCGACGTACAGCTCAATGGTACAAGTACAAATACTACTACTAATACTACTAATACTACTACTACAACACACAAACCCTACAGGACTGAGGCTGAGTTGTCCTGGTCTCTTCCTCAGGTGGTTTTGGAGTGGATTTCTCTCAGTCTTCCTCAGACGTCGCTTCTGGAGTTCGTTTGGTGGGACACAGGATCCTGGAGCACGGAGTCACGTCCTTCTGCCCCACACTGGTCACCTCGTCCCCCTCCGTCTACCACCAGGTCCACCCTTCTCTTTATACCGGGTTTAGTGCTGGTTTAGTCCTAGTTTAGACCTGGTTGAGACTTGGTTAAGTTCTCGTTTAGACCTGGTTTAGTTCTGGTTTTAGACCTGGTTGAATCAGTGAAATCCTAACATTAAATCTCATTAGTAACAAAAGAAGAAGCTGATTTTTTTTACAATGAAAAATATGTTTATTTAAATCATTAATTAGAAATCTTAAGACATGAGTCATTATTATTAAGAGTGTAGGACTTGTTTACCCTTCAAGTTAGTTGACCAATGCTTCAGTCTAAATATGAAAATGACAATTTACAGTCTTTACTAAAAATAATTCATGTGCGAAGCAAAGTTTAAAAAAGCAAAAAATAAATATAAACCACGTGAGTAAAATCATGGACAGATGAGACTGATGATGAGGTGTCGCCTCCTTTGTTCAGTTGACTCCACAGAACTATAATAAAATCTAAAAAATAATAGTTTTTATTATAGATCCATGGCTGACACTGAACACACAGGCAGCGCTGAGCAGCAGAACCTACGGAGCAAATAAACCAGAAAGAATAAAATATCTAATTAAAATTGGCACAGAGACTGTTTTTTGATTGGTGTTATTTGAAATAAACTTTAAATTAAATATTGGAAATAGAGGTCGAAATCTGTTTTTTTTTTTGTTTGATACTGAAGTCTAAATAACAAACTCTTCCCATTTTATTGTTTTTGTTAATTGAAATTCAAAAGACCGAGTGGTACACGGAGCGTTCTTCACTGACCTGGTTGTGTTCTGTTCCTTTAGGTTCTTCCTCAGATCTCAGTCCAAAACGGAGGAGCACACGGAGCCGGAGTCCTGGGTACGTTTGTGACATGTGTGTTTTAGACGTGCACGTATCGAACTGTTGTGGTGAAGAGGAGCTGAGCCGAAAGGCAAAGCTCTCGATTTACTGTGAGTCTCTGTTCCTCCCCTCACTTCATGAGCTCTGGGTAGTGACCAAAAGGACCAGATCGACGATACGAGCGACACAAATGAGTTTCCTGCACAGGTGTCTGGGCGTCTCCCTTAGAGATAGAGTGAGGAGCTCAGTCACACGGGAGGAGCTCGGAGTAGAGCCGCTGAGGAGCAGTTGAGGCTCGGGCATCTGTTCTGATGTCTCCTGGGCGTCTCCCTCAGGAGGTGTTCATGTCCCACCAGGAGGAGGCCCCGGGGAAGACCCAGGACACACTGGAGGGACTCTGTCTCTGGACTGGCCTGGGAACACCTCGGGGTCCCCCTGGAGGAAGTGGAGGACATGTCTGGGGTGATGGAAGTCTGGGAGTCCCTGCTCAGACTGTTGCCGCAGTGACCCGACTCCAGAGAAGAGGAAGAAAATGGATGGATGAATGAACGTGGTTAACCCTGTGTGTGTGTGTTTTAGGCGTGCACGTGGAGTATTCTTATGTATGTGTGTGTGTGTGTTTTAGGCGTGCACGTGGAGTATTCTTATGTATGTGTGTGTGTGTTTTAGGCGTGCACGTGGAGTATTCTTATGTATGTGTGTGTGTGTGTGTTTTAGGCGTGCACGTGGAGTATTCTTATGTATGTGTGTGTGTGTGTTTTAGGCGTGCACGTGGAGTATTCTTATGTATGTGTGTGTGTGTGTTTTAGGCGTGCACGTGGAGTATTCTTATGTATGTGTGTGTGTGTGTTTTAGGCGTGCACGTGGAGTATTCTTATGTATGTGTGTGTGTGTGTTTTAGGCGTGCACGTGGAGTATTCTTATGTATGTGTGTGTGTGTTTTAGGCGTGCATGTGGAGTATTCTTATGTATGTATGTGTGTGTGTGTGTTTTAGGCGTGCACGTGGAGTATTCTTATGTATGTGTGTGTGTGTTTTAGGCGTGCATGTGGAGTATTCTTATGTATGTATGTGTGTGTGTGTTTTAGGCGTGCACGTGGAGTATTCTTATGTATGTGTGTGTGTGTGTGTGTGTTTTAGGCGTGCACGTGGAGTATTCTTATGCATGTGTGTGTGTGTGTTTTAGGCGTGCACGTGGAGTATTCTTATGTATGTGTGTGTGTGTGTGTGTTTTAGGCGTGCACGTGCAGTATTCTTATGTATGTATGTGTGTGTGTGTGTGTTTTAGGCGTGCACGTGGAGTATTCTTATGTATGTGTGTGTGTGTGTGTGTTTTAGGCGTGCACGTGCAGTATTCTTATGTATGTGTGTGTGTGTGTTTTAGGCGTGTACGTGGAGTATTCTTATGTATGTGTGTGTGTGTGTTTTAGGCGTGCACGTGGAGTATTCTTATGTATGTGTGTGTGTGTGTTTTAGGCGTGCACGTGGAGTATTCTTATGTATGTGTGTGTGTGTGTTTTAGGCGTGCACGTGCTGTATTCTTATGTATGTATGTGTGCGTGTGTTTTAGGCGTGCACGTGGAGTATTCTTATGTATGTGTGTGTGTGTGTTTTAGGCGTGCACGTGGAGTATTCTTATGTATGTGTGTGTGTGTGTTTTAGGCGTGCACGTGGAGTATTCTTATGTATGTGTGTGTGTGTGTTTTAGGCGTGCACGTGGAGTATTCTTATGTATGTGTGTGTGTGTGTGTTTTAGGCGTGCACGTGGAGTATTCTTATGTGTGTGTGTGTGTGTTTTTAGGCGTGCACGTGGAGTATTCTTATGTGTGTGTGTGTGTGTGTTTTAGGCGTGCACGTGGAGTATTCTTATGTATGTGTGTGTGTGTGTTTTAGGCGTGCACGTGGAGGGCCCCTTCATCAGCGCTCAGAAGAAGGGGGCCCACCCGGAACAGTACCTCAGGACCTTCTCGTCCCCCGGCCTGTCGGACCTGCTGCAGACGTACGGGACCCTGGAGCCGGTGCGGGTGGTGACTCTGGCCCCGGAGCTGGAGCACAGCGGGGGGGTGGTCCGGGAGCTGAGCCAGCGGGGGGTCACCGTGTCTCTGGGTGAGTGGACGTCACAGAGCTGACCCTTTAATGGTTGTATGGAGGATTTTTTTTTGTTTCAAGTTGTCAATTGTTGTCAGTGATAGATTATAGATGCAGTCGCCTTGTAATTATGATGACCAAAAAAAAGAGAATAAAAATTCATCAACTCTGGACGTGGTGGAGCTAAACATTTGCCAATAGATAACGACACTGCCTCGTTATCTGTGAGCTGACAGGCTGTCAATCAAACTCCCTACGTGTCTAGTGTAACTGACTTGCCTGCGCCGCCGGTACGTGGTTTACGTACGACTGTCACGCAGTCCACAGACGCAAGACGCACAGACGCTGTTTACTCCACCAACGCAACAGTTCTTAGCGGCTTTTTTTGACCTATATCTTCCTCGCAGTTCGCACAAAGTTTGTTGCGATGGCGACAAGAATCCAGGAGCAGTTCGCCACAAAACAAAGTCTGTTTTTGAGGTCGCTGAAAGAAGAAGACAAGGGGAAAAGCACTTGAAGATTCATTCCAGCGATGGCGGACTGAAGCAGACGAAGGGTCTAAAGAAATGGTCACAACTCCTTTATTGAAAACGTTTTTCAACGGACAAAAGTCCAAGCTGCTGCGTGTTTAGCTAGCATAGAATCTCCGCGCAAGCCCTTTCCTGCTCCTCTCCCCGCTGCCCGATCTCTTCCTCCTGACTTCTCGTCCGCGCCCTCCCCGAAAACTGTAGTTAGTTGTTTACAAGTCATGTGCAGCAAAAGTTTCTGGCGTAAGGAGGAGGCGGGAGGAGGCGTTTCTACGTAGGAGCTGTAGGGGAGGTGGTTTTGCATGCGCAACATTTGAAAAAGGACAAACCGCTGGATTTCTCGTTCTTGGAAAAATACACCTTTAATGGTCATGTTCCAAACGGGACGTGAGCGTGCGGCTCTTCCGGCTCCACTGACTCTAGCTCCAGTTCGCTTTCTATAAGTTTCTGGTAGGGCTGGTATCATTAAGAAGCTGCCGATACGATACACACCTCGATACATAGGCCACGATACGATACAGTGCACTTTCGATTCGATATGATATATTTCAAATCGATTTGATGCAGTTCAATGAAAAATAAAGGCTAAATGATGGCTGTGATTCTAAAAGTGTTTGTTAAATCGCTTCTTGTGCAAAGTTCATATGAAACACAAACATTTTAATCATCAAAACAGTAAAAATGTCAAATGTGTCACATAAATGAGTTTCCTTTCACTCCACAAGCAACAAAACTGTAGCTCTGTAACAAAATAATTTAGTAAAACACGTGTAAAAATACTCTTGGTGATATATCGATAAAGCAGCCCATGATATCGATACTGTATCATCACATTAAACGATACGATATATCGATATTCCGATATTTTTGCACACCCCTAGTTTCTGGGTCTTTCCATGCCAAATCTCCGAATGATCCTGCCCGAAACTCTGGATTTGACTGAAAAAATTCTAGGAGGTTCACACGCTTTCCAAAAGAAAAAGTCCTACATTTTAGCCTCAAACTCCTTATAGTTTTGTCATTAAAAATATTTTGTCAATTCCCCCCTGACCTGTTTTGAGCAGAGTTTTCCACTTTCAGATGCTGTATCTAAAAAAACGATTCAAGGTCTGGTTAAAATTTGGCAAATGTACTTGTAGAATCTGGACTTTTACACATCTGCTTTTGGTTTCTTGGGGTTTGAATTTGCTTGCTCGTTTGCGGACGCCACATTTTCAAAAAGTCATTTTGCAAAAACAAGGCAGAACACCATCGCAAATTTTAGATATATTAAAAACAAACATCTAGTCTTTCAAAAAACAGTCCATTTTATGTTGGTGGGTGCTGTCATTTTTTTGGTGTAACGTGGTAAAAATGTCACACACATCCGATTCACTTTTGCATTTATGGAGCTCCCAACCGTTTCTCGAGTCGTTTTCCGCTGTTAGGATCCAACAACCACACAATTACGATGTCCGAATCCTAAAACTAAAATATGACAATATCAGAACCAGAAACAAATGGTTCAAAAGACTTGAAAAGATCGACTTTGACAGTATCAGAAATCCGAAATTCGCGATGCATGTATTGTCTTACGTTAGGATCTTGTGGCCCCTTTCTCTGTGACTGAGCCTCGTCGTTTTGATCTTAAAATGTTCGTTTTAATCTGCGACGCGTGATCCCGATTTTTTTTTTGTTTTCGCTGTTTTGCCCATCAAAAAAATCCTATTCATCGCATAGAGTCTGGCTCCGGACGTGCTTCTGTATCCGTGAGCATCGCGAGCCTCGTTCGAGCGACGCTGAACGCTGTGGGACGCCGCGCTCTCTCAGGTCCACTTCTTTTATACGGTCTACGGTCGTAACTGTGTCTCTGTGGTTCAAAGGTCACTCCACTGCAAACCTGAGTCAGGCCGAAGATGCGGTTCAGAGCGGAGCCTCGTTCATCACTCACCTGTTCAACGCCATGCTGCCTGTGAGTCCCGCCCGAGCTCAAGGACGCTCACAAAACTCACTCATCTGGGCTTAGAGACACGTTAGAAAACAGTTTTCACCAGGACACAGCGGAAAAGGACCTGTGCCTGTTGGGAAGAGAGTTCAGAAGGACAAATGTCCACAGGAATCACTGGGAATTCTGATTTATCGACCTTTAAATACTTGGTTTATTCCTGCTTTAGTCCTGGTCTAATCTTGGTTTCGTCCTGGTCTAGTCCTGGTCTAGTCCTGGTTTAGTCCTGCTTTAGTCCTGGTTTAGTCCTGGTCTAGTCCTGGTCTAGTCCTGGTTTAGTCCTGGTTTAGTCCTGGTTTAGTCCTGGTTTAGTCCTGGTTTAGTCCTGGTTTAGTCCTGCTTTAGTCCTGGTTTAGTCCTGGTTTAGTCCTAGATTAGTCCTGGTTTAGTCCTGCTTTAGTCCTGGTTTAGTCCTGGTTTAGTCCTAGATTAGTCCTGATTTAGTCCTGGATTAGTCCTGGATTAGTCCTGGTTTAGTCCTGGTTTAGTCCTGGATTAGTCCTGGTTTAGTCCTGCTTTAGTCCTGCTTTAGTCCTGGATTAGTCCTGGTTTAGTCCTGCTTTAGTCCTGCTTTAGTCCTGGTTTAGTCCTGGATTAGTCCTGGATTAGTCCTGCTTTAGTCCTGGTTTAGTCCTGGATTAGTCCTGGTTTAGTCCTGGATTAGTCCTGGTCTAGTCCTGGTTTAGTTCTGGTTTAGACCTGGTTTAGTCCTGGTTTAGTCCTAGATTAGTCCTGATTTAGTCCTGATTTAATCCTGATTTTGTCCTGGTTTAGTCCTGGTTTAGTCTTGCTTTAGTCCTGGTTTAGTCCTAGATTAGTCCTGGTTTAGTCCTGGTTTAGTCCTGGATTAGTCCTGGTTTAGTCCTGGTTTAGTCCTGGATTAGTCCTGGATTAGTCCTGGTCTAGTCCTGGTCTAGTCCTGGTCTAGTCCTGGTGTAGTCCTGGTTTAGTCCTGGTTTAGTCCTGGTCTAGTCCTGGTTTGGACCTTTTTTTTTGTCCTCAGTTTCACCACAGAGACCCGGGCATCGTGGGGCTTCTGACCAGTGACCGAGTTCCCGCCGAGAGGACGGTGTTTTACGGCATGATCTCAGACGGAATCCACACCAACCCCGCCGCCCTGCGCATCGCCCACAGAGCTCACCCAAAAGGTGACACCACCCTAACACCCACCCACACCCCAGGAGAGCTCACCCTAACACCCACACCCCAGGAGAGCTCACCCTAACACCCACACAGGAGAGCTCACCCTAACCCACACACCCAAACACCCCAGGAGAGCTCACCCTAACACCCACTCCCACACCCAGGAGAGCTCACCCTAACACCACCACACCCCCAGGAGAGCTCACCCTAACACCCACACCCCAGGAGAGCTCACCCTAACACCCACACACCCTCACCCTACAACCCCACACCCCCAGGAGAGCTCACCCTAAACACCCACCCACACCCCAGGAGAGCTCACCCTAACACCCACACCCCAGGAGAGCTCACCCTAACACCCACACCCCAGGAGAGCTCACCCTAACACCCACCACCCCACCACCCACCCCACCCCAGGGAGAGCTCACCCTAACACCCACACCCCAGGAGAGCTCACCCTAACACCCACCCACACCCCAGGAGAGCTCACCCTAACACCCACCCACACCCCAGGAGAGCTCACCCTAACACCCACACCCCAGGAGAGCTCACCCTAACACCCACACCCCAGGAGAGCTCACCCTAACACCCACACCCCAGGAGAGCTCACCCTAACACCCACCCACACCCCACCCAGGAGAGCTCACCCTAACACCCACACCCACCCTAGGAGAGTTCACCCACACCTCTGACCTCGCAGCATTAGGATTCGTTCGCTCGACACTCGGCGGTTACTTTTTTAAATTTAACCAGTTGCTCTTATTTGATCAAACTTTCTTTGTTTCGGTTTTAAATCCTCGGGATCTGGGGAATCGTCGCCGACACAGAATGTCTGTGTTCATCTACGTCCATCTCCACCAACGTTTACTGTTGTGCTGAAACACAAAAGGGACACAGACAGACGCCGCGACCACGACGACGTCATGACCTCACAGCTCACAGCTGATTGGTCGGTGCGCGTCTACAACTTCCGGGGTTTTTGCAAAAACCGTCTAGTGTTTTCTGATTCCTGAACTAGTCACTGGAGAGAAATGAAGTTGAGTGGAAACACTAGAGGCGTTTTCAGGCCGACAGAACTGTGCCGGTGCCATTTCCCACTCAGTCTTGAACTCAGATTTCATGCCGGAAATCAGAGCGTTTGGGAACCGAAAAGTTGGTTCCCAACCGGAACCAAGTAAAACTTGTTTTTTCCAAGTGAACATGACGACACAGAAGACATCAGCATGTTCATCCAGGTCACACACAGGAAAATAAACAAAGAGCAATTGAAACTATCACTTATGAAATTAAAAGTTTTAAGTCGACATAAACTCTGGTCTTGCATGTGTCCGTGTTCTCCAGATATTATTACATTATTACATCTTTGTATTTGGCGTCTCTGTCGTCTTCTCCTCAGCAGATCCATGTTGGAGCAGAGTTTGGCACATAAATAATGACTTGTAGAAGTACAAACTCTCGCTGGTGTTGATGATGTGATCTGGTGTGTTTCAGATGTTTCAGTTGTGTGTTTCAGGTGTTTCAGTTGTTGTGTGTTTCAGTTGTGTGTTTCAGGTGTTTCAGTTGTGTGTTTCTCTGGTGTGTTTCAGGTGTTTCAGTTGTTCAGTTGTGTGTTTTCAGGTGTGTTTTCAGGTGTTTCAGTTGTGTGTGTGTTTCAGGTGTTTCAGTTTTCAGTTGTGTGTTTCAGAGTGTTTCAGTGTTTCAGTTGTGTGTTCAGAGTGTTTCAGTGTGTTGTGTTTCTCTGGTGTGTGTTTCAGTTTTCAGTGTGTGTGTTTCAGTTGTGTTTTCAGTTGTGTGTTTCAGGTGTTTCAGTTGTGTGTTTCAGGTGTTTCAGTTGTGTGTGTTTCAGTTGTGTGTTTCAGGTGTTTCAGTTGTGTGTTTCAGGTGTTTCAGTTGTGTGTTTCAGGTGTTTCAGTTGTGTGTTTCAGGTGTTTCAGTTGTGTGTTTCAGGTGTTTCAGTTGTGTGTTTTTCAGGTGTTTCAGTTGTGTGTTTCAGTGTTTCAGTTGTGTGTTTCTCTGGTGTGTTTCAGGTGTTTCAGTTGTGTGTTTCAGGTGTTTTCAGGTGTTGTCAGTGTTTCAGTTGTGTTTTCAGAGTGTTGTCAGTTGTGTGTTTCAGATGTTTTTCAGGTGTTTCAGTTGTGTGTTTTCTCAGTGTTTCAGTTGTGTGTTTCAGGTGTTTCAGTTGTGTGTTTCAGATGTTTCAGTTGTGTGTTTCTCTGGTGTGTTTCAGAGTGTTTCAGTTGTGTGTTTCAGGTGTTTCAGTTGTGTGTTTCAGATGTTTCAGTTGTGTGTTTCAGTGTTTCAGTTGTGTGTTTCAGGTGTTTCAGTTGTGTGTTTCTCTGGTGTGTTTCAGGTGTTTCAGTTGTTTCAGTTGTGTGTTTCAGGTGTTTCAGTTGTGTGTGTGTTTCAGATGTTTCAGTTGTGTGTTTCAGGTGTTTCAGTTGTGTGTTTCTCTGGTGTGTTTCAGGTCTGGTTCTGGTGACAGACGCCATCATGGCCATGGGGCTTCCTCCAGGACGCCACACTCTGGGACAGCAGGTCATCGAGATCCAGGGACTGCACGCCTACGTCGCAGGTGTCGCACCCGTCGCACCCGTCGCACCCGTCGCACCTGTCACGTGACTCATCAGAGAACGAGCAGGAGCAGTGTTTAATGTTTCATGTGATGAGTGTTTGTTTGTGTTTGTGTTTGTCTCAGGAACAAAGACTCTGAGCGGGAGCATCGCCACCATGGACATGTGTGTGCGCCACTTCAGACAAGCCTCAGGTCAGACACACACACACAAACACACACACACACACACACACACACACACACACAACACACACAACACATAAACACACAAACAAAACAAACATACACACACGCCTCAGGTCAGACACACACACACACAACACACACACACACACAACACACAACACATAAACACACAAACAACAAACACACACACACACACACACACACACACAAACACATAAACACACAAACACACACACACACAAACACACACACACACAAACACACAAACACACACACAAACAAAACAAACACACACACACGCCTCAGGTCAGACACACACACACACAACACACACACAAACACACACAAACACACACACACACACAAACACACACACACAACAAACAAAACACACAAACAAACACACAACACACAACACACACAACAACACAAACACACAAACACACAAACAAAACAAACACACACACACAAGCCTCAGGTCAGACACACAACAACACACACACACACAAACACACAAAACACATAACACACAAACAAAACAAACACACACACACAACACACAAACACACACAACACACACACACACACACACACACACACACACAAACACACACACACACACACACACACAAACACATAAACACACAAACAAAACAAACATACACACACACACGCCTCAGGTCAGACACACACACACAAACACACACACAAACACACAACAACACACACACAACACACACACACACACAAACACATAAACACACAAACAAAACAAACATACACACATGCCTCAGGTCAGACACACACACAAACACACAAACACATAAACACACAAACAAAACAAACATACACACATGCCTCAGGTCAGACACACACACAAACACACAAACACACAAACACATAAACACATAAACACACAAACACACACACACGCCTCAGGTCAGACACACAACAACACACACAACACACACACACAAACACACACACAAAACAAACATACACACACGCCTCAGGTCAGACACACACACAAACACACAAAAAAAACAAACACACACACGCCTCAGGTCAGACACACACACAAACAAACAACAAACACACAAACACATAAACACAAAACAAAACAAACACACACACACGCCTCAGGTCAGACACACACACACACAAAAAACACACACACACAAATACACAAACAAAACAAACATACACACACGCCTCAGGTCAGACACACACAACACACACACACACAAACAAACAACAAACACATAAACACACAAACAAAACAAACACACATACACGCCTCAGGTCAGACACACAACAACATACATAAACACACACACAAACGACCAGAGTCTGATGAGCATTAAATGGCAGCTTCTTCTTCTTCTTCTTCTTCTTCTTCTTCTTCTTCTTCTCTCCAGGTTGTAGTGTGGAGGAAGCTCTGGAGGCCGCCTCTCTTCATCCGGCTCAGCTCCTGAACCTCAGTCACAGGAAGGGGGCGCTAGACTACGGCTGTGACGCAGGTTTGTCGCGTTTCACTGATTTGAATAGTTTTGTTTCTCCACGGTTTCATAAACCTGTAAATACGATCAGATCTGTGAGTCAGATGCCCTCCCCGTGTCTCCATGAGCTCTTATAAAACCTGTAGTTTTCATTCCCTGAAGGTGTTTCCTCTGGAAGGTCTTGGAGTGTTTCCTCTGGAAGGTCTTCTACCTCCTTTGCTCCTACTTATGGTGCCGAAAACTTGTAGCATCTCAGTGTTCATTATTATTTTCTTAGCCTCTTCACAGTTTCCATGGATACGAGAAAAACAAACAGGTTCAGAATCTTGTCGAGGGAAATCGAGGTTCGCGAGTTCATTCATATTTGGGGGGATCGTTGTATTCAGGCCAAATTGGTGGATTCTTATCGGAACTGGACGGTTTTTGAAATGACCGCCAAAGACAGACATGTCAAACTCAGGCCTGGGGGCCAAATTTGGTCCACGATATAATTGTATTTGGCCTGCGAGATCATATTAAATCTGTATTAGAACTGCAGCCGCACACAGATCGACTATAGAGACATTATTTAAAATTTTGTTTTTATTTTATATTTTAATATAGGTAACACTTTATAATAACTACACCTTATTTAGCCTTAATAAAGCATGAACAAAGGCTTAATTAATAATGAACAAAGACTTAATTAATAATGATTCACACTTAGTAACTACTTAATTACTACCTTAATTAGCACTTGCACTTAATTTGCCTGTGCTGTAAATATTTACTCATAATTATTTCATACTTAATTACTCATGAACGAACCATTTGAGCATTTATTAATCAACTCTAAACTATGAGAGAATGATTTACTAATAATACAATGCAATGATCATTCAGGCAGCTGTTTTCTGTCAGTTAAGTCTTTTTGAGAGCTTTTCTAAAGTGAAGACTAATTATGCTTTATTAAGCATTTACTAAGTGTGAATCATTATAATAAATCTTTGTTCATTATTAATTAAGTCTTTGTTCATGCTTTATTAAGGCTAAGTAAGGTGTAGTTATTATAAAGTGTTACCTTAATATTTTATTTTATTGTTTTGGATTCAATGTTTAAGTAAAACTTATTTTAATAAGAAAACATTTAAGAAGAGAAAACATGAAGATGTTGTTGAAATTTTTCAATATTATTTTGGCCCACAACTTTGTCCCAGTTTTTTATTTTTTATTTTGGCCTCTGTGAATTTGAGTTTGACTCTCCTGGCCAAAGAAAAGTCTGAGCATGGCCGCAGACAGTCCTGGCTCCGACGTCAACGAAAAATAAAGAGCCTGAGAGCCAAATACAAATGAAGCGGCCGTCACCGTGTAACCTGAACATTTTAAAAACAACTGGACCGGATTTTGGGAGACAAGCCCAGAGTTTAGGCGACTTTGGTAAACACTGAGCGACTCTAATGCTCAGGTGGGACACTTTTGGGGCGTTTAAAGTTCACACTGGAGATCATATAAGTCACATTTAATTGGTTTTGTGAACGAACTCACGTAAAAAAAAAAAAAATTTCACAGAAAAATATGAATTGAGCGTTAAGCCCTGCAGTCTGAACTTAGCCTTAGTTGTTTAAAATTCCAAGATATGATGTTAAAAAATGTTGAAAAACCACAAGAGCAGCCAACCACTCTGTGCCATGGATTTATTTATTTTATTTTATTTTATTTATTAGTTTTATTTATCTCGTTTGTTCCTCTCTCTCTGCAGATCTGGTGTTACTGGACGACGACTTGAACGTAAAAGCCACGTACATTTGCGGAGAGGAAGTCTGGAGGAAGAAGACGTGAAATCAAAAAGTCTTAAAGTCTCACGACACCGAAAGAACCATCAGGACCCGAGCTCCAGGGCCTGAACTCAAACCGTCAGACGGGTCAGAGGTCAGAGGTCAGAGACACGCTTCTGTTCATCACTCTGAACTTCTCCAGGAAAGAGGGAAATTCACAAATACTGAACCTGTTTTTATTATCGGAGCTGAGACAAAATTCTAGAAAATAAATCAATAAGATGAACTCGAGCCGTAAAACCCGTCGACTCTTTACTGTGAAATCTGTCTCTGTTCTTCCTGATCGAGTTTTATTTTTTAATCTTACTCCTTATCAGATTATTCAAATTGTTTATACGATCTTTTATTTTGATAATAAAGTTCTGTAAATTGAGGTTTGGGTTTGGGTTTTTCACTTTTAAAGAGTCTAAACCAGCAGGGGGCAGTGTTGTCTCTCTGTTCCGGCGTGACTCCAGTGTCCCAGAGTTTCCAGATGAGGAAGAGTGTGATCTGCGTTTAATCTAAAGACGAGGAAAGATTAGAGCTTAAAGACACAATCAGAGCGAGTCCCTTAACGAGGAGACTTTAGATTAACACTGTGTAGATTAAAACACGACCACAGAGGAAATGTTTGACCAGTTAAACATCGACATGTGCTTCAGGATGAATCATTTGTCCAACTTCTTGAAACATTTCTAAAAATCAGTCTGTACCTAGTATCAGTTTTTTACACTTGACAAAGTAAAATTCTGTGAGAAATTTCATGAAATTGTCTTGATGTTTACTGGGTCCAACAAAACTGAAGTTTAGTGTCTGCAGAAGCCTTTTTTTTTTCTTTTATAACATCAAAATAATTAATTTAGCCCAACAGAATCAGTGGAAGTTAAATATAAATCTGGACTTTGTGGATCATTTGGTGTCAGTTTTATGTCTCGATCATCATTAGTTTCTGAGATATGGAAAAAGTTTGATTTCTTTGGGACTTCAAGGACCTTGAATAAGCAATTATTATATAAAAAAATTAATAATAAAATAAACTAATAATAATAATAACAATAATAATAATAATAATATATTTTAAAAATCACAATTTTTTTAAAGTTATTTGAGAAAAACAGATTTTTCTGCCAGAGTCTTATGAACGCCGTGAGGAACTTAAGAGTTTTGTTGGACCCAGGAGATTTTATTCACTTGAGCAAATATTCCACAGATTTTCTTTTTATTGGTTTTGTCACATTTTTAAATTGGGGACAAGTTGAATTTCTGACATTGGGGCAAATGATGCACTCTAATATGTGCATTGGATTTGTGGCAGAAAACCTGCGTTAGACGATTGAATAATTTGGATTTAATATTTGATTTTATAATTTTCATTTTCATTACTTTGTTTTTTTGTTTCCATCTGTAGAAAATGTTGAAACTTTGTTTAGAAAGACGCTGTATAAATAAAATATCCAACCATCCATTTTCTTCCACTTTATCTGGGGGCATTAGTCTAAGCAGGGACTCCCAGACTTCCTTCACCCCAGACACTTCCTCCAGCTCCTCCAGGGAGACTCCGAGGTCCAGTCCACAGACAGAGTCCCTCCAGTGTGTCCTGGGGTCTCCTCCCGGTGGAACATGAACACCTCCTGAGGGAGACGTCCAGGAGACATCAGATCAGACGTCCTCCCCTCAGACGCTCCTCTCCACGTGGAGGAGCAGCGGCTCTACTCCGAGCTCCTCACTCACTAAGGGAGACGCCCGGACGCCCTGCGGAGGAAACTCATTTGAGTCGCTCGTATCGTGGCTCTGGTCCTTTCGGTCTTTACCCAGAGCTCATGAGCAGAGGTGAGGAGAGGAAATAAAATATCACTGTTTTATAAATGAAAATTCACACTGGAGCCGATGATATTAATGTTAAATATTTTATATTTAACTCTATTTAATAGGAATATTTCAGTGTTTCCAGTCGTTTCTTTCTCTTCTTTAGTGGAGTTTTATTTGTTACAAGATCTCGGTCTGTGGAAATGTTTCCAAACACGTGTGTGTGTGTGTGTGTGTGTGAAATTAATTTTCTCATTGGCGACAATAAAGAGAAAGACCCAGAGACGCCCTGGACCACCCCAGACCCCGACCCACACGGCCCCTGACCCTCTGTGTGGGACCCCTGTGGGTCCCTCTGTGTCGGGGGGGTCCCTCTGTGTTGGAGGGGTCCCTCTGTGGGTCCCTCTGTGTTGGGGGGGTCCCTCTGTGTTGGAGGGGTCCCTCTGTGTTGGGGGGGTCCCTCTGTGTTGGGGGGGTCCCTCTGTGTTGGAGGGGTCCCTCTGTGGGGGGGGTCCCTCTGTGTTGGGGGGGTCCCTCTGTGTTGGGGGGTCCCTCTGTTGGAGGGGTCCTCTGTGTTGGAGGGTCCCTCTGTGTTGGGGGGGTCCCTCTGTGTTTGGGGGGGGTCCCTCTGTGTTGGAGGGGTCCCTCTGTGTTGGGGGGTCCCTCTGTGTTGGGGGGGTCCCTCTGTGGGTCCCTCTGTGTCGGGGGGGGTCCCTCTGTGTCGGGGGGGTCCCTCTGTGGGGGGGGTCCCTCTGTGTTGGGGGGTCCCTCTGTGTTGGGGTCGGTGGGGTCCCTCTGTGTTGGGGGGGTCCCTCTGTGTCGGGTGTTTTTTGTTTTGGGGCAGAGAATGTGAAAAATCTGCAGCTTAACTGAGAGAATCACTCAGCAGCAAAACTCCACAAAGAACAAGAGCAACATCAGCACAAACCAGAGACCAGAGACCAGAGACCAGACCAGAGACCAGACCAGAGATCCAGACCAGAGACCAGACCAGAGACCAGACCAGAGAGACCAGACCAGACCAAGACCAGACCAGAGACCAGAGACCAGACCAGAGACCAGACAGACCAGAGACCAGACCAGAGACCAGACCAGAGAGACCAGAGACCAGCAGAGACCAGAGACCAGAGACCAGACCAGACCAGACCAGACCAGAGACCAGAGACCAGACCAGAGACCAGAGACCAGACCAGAGACCAGACCAGAGACCAGAGACCAGACCAGACCAGACCAGACCAGAGACCAGACCAGAGACCAGACCAGACCAGACCAGAGACCAGACCAGACCAGACCAGACCAGAGACCAGACCAGAGACCAGAGACCAGACCAGACCAGAGACCAGAGACCAGACCAGACCAGACCAGACCAGACCAGAGACCAGACCAGACCCAGACCAGAGACCAGACCAGAGACCAGACCAGACCAGACCAGAGACCAGACCAGACCAGAGACCAGAGACCAGACCAGAGACCAGACCAGAGACCAGACCAGACCAGAGACCAGAGAGACCAGACCAGACCAGACCAGACCAGACCAGAGACCAGACCAGACCAGACCAGACCAGAGACCAGACCAGAGACAGACCAGAGACCAGACAGACCAGAGACCAGACCAGAGACCAGACCAGAGACCAGACCAGAGACCAGACCAGACCAGAGACCAGACCAGAGACCAGACCAGACCAGACCAGAGACCAGACCAGAGACCAGACCAGAGACCAGACCAGAGACCAGACCAGACCAGACCAGACCAGACCAGAGAGACCAGACCAGAGACCAGACCAGAGACCAGAGACCAGAGACCAGACCAGACCAGAGACCAGACCAGAGACCAGACCAGAGACCAGACCAGACCAGACCAGACCAGAGAGACCAGACCAGAGACCAGACCAGAGACCAGACCAGACCAGACCAGAGACCAGACCAGACCAGAGAGACCAGACCAGACCAGACCAGACCAGAGACCAGACCAGAGACCAGACCAGACCAGACCAGACCAGACCAGACCAGACCAGACCAGACCAGACCAGAGACCAGACCAGACCAGACCAGACAGACCCAAGACCAGAGACCAGACCAGAGACCAGAGACCAGACCAGACCAGACCAGAGACCAGAGACCAGAGACCAGAGACCAGACCAGACCAGACCAGACCAGAGACCAGACCAGACCAGAGACCAGACCAGAGACCAGACCAGACCAGACCAGACCAGACCAGAGACCAGAGACCAGACAGACCAGACCAGACCAGACCAGAGACCAGACCAGAGACCAGACCAGAGACCAGAGACCAGACCAGACCAGACCAAGACCAGAGACCAGACCAGAGACCAGACCAGACCAGACCAGACCAGACCAGACCAGAGACCAGACCAGAGACCAGACCAGACCAGAGACCAGACCAGAGACCAGACCAGACCAGAGACCAGACCAGACCAGACCAGAGACCAGACCAGAGACCAGACCAGACCAGACCAGACCAGAGACCAGACCAGAGACCAGACCAGAGACCAGACCAGAGACCAGACCAGACCAGAAGACCAGAGACCAGAGACCAGAGACCAGACCAGAGACCAGAGACCAGACCAGCAGAGACCAGACCAGACCAGACCAGAGACCAGAGACCAGACAGACCAGACCAGAGACCAGACCAGACCAGACCAGAGACCAGAGACCAGACCAGACCAGACCAAGAGACCAGAGACCAGACCAGACCAGACCAGAGACCAGACCAGACCAGAGACCAGAGACCAGAGACCAGAGACCAGACCAGACCAGACCAGAGACCAGAGACCAGAGACCAGACCAGAGACCAGAGACCAGACCAGAGACCAGAGACCAGACCAGACCCAGAGACCAGAGACCAGACCAGACCAGACCAGACCAGACCAGACCAGACCAGAGACCAGAGACCAGACCAGACCAGAGACCAGACCAGAGACACCAGAGACCAGACCAGACCAGAGACCAGGACCAGAGACCAGACCAGGGACCAGACCAGGGACCAGACCAGAGACCAGACCAGAGACCAGACCAGACTGACCAGGACCAGACCCAGACCAGACCAGACCAGAGACCAGAGACCAGAGACCAGACCAGACCAGACCAGACCAGACAGACCAGACCAGAGACCAGACCAGGACCAGACCAGGACCAGGACCAGACCAGGACCAGGACAGACCAGAGACCAGACCAGACAGACCAGACCAGAGACCAGACCAGGACTAAGACCCAGACTGAGACCAGACCAGAGACCAGACCAGAGACCAGAGACCAGAGACCAGACCAGAGACCAGAGACAGGGACTGGACCAGGGACCAGAGACCAGAGACCAGAGACCAGAGACCAGAGACCAGAGACCAGAGACCAGAGACCAGACCAGAGACCAGACCAGAGACCAGACAGAGACCAGAGACCAGACCAGAGACCAGACAGAGACCAGACCAGAGACCAGAGACCAGAGACCAGGGACTGGACCAGGGACCAGAGACCAGAGACCAGAGACCACAAACCTGAGGTTGGACCACAGACTGGAAAAGCCTGTTTTACACAGACCTGTTTTGAGCCTGAAGAGTTTCCAGAGTCTGA